GTGCACACACACACATGTGCACACACACACACCCAAAGAAAAAGAACAAAAATTAAAGCAGAAATAAGTTAAATTAAAAATCAATAAAAACGACAAAATCAAAAGGTGTATTTTTGAAAAGATCAATAAAAGTGATGAGCCTCTACATATGTTAAGTTGGAACTGCATTCTATCAATTGCATTAGTGTTTGCTTTGCAGATGCTATTATGTGGAATAAAAATGAATGTTTTCATCAATGCATGTACTACTGTTATTGCAATGTTATTAAATTATTACCTAAACCAGCGATAACCCTCTTTCTTAAGCTTTCTTCCAGTCAGTATTTTCCCCACCACTGTCGGACTAAAATGCTAATTCTCATTTCTTTTCATCTATAGAATTCACACTTCTCTTCCTCTTTGCCTTTGTTGTACTTACTGAGGTCTCTGCCACAGAGCATTCATCACTGCAGCTATCTCTAACTTAGGTTCTTGTCTTTTCCAGATGTTTCTCCCTCAAGTCTATATCGACCAAATTTAAAAACACCCAGTGGGGCCAGCAGGTACCGTGGTGGTTAAGGTGCTACATTCCCACAAGGCTGACCATGGTTTGATCCTGGACCAGGTGGCTTGAAAATCACAACAAATAAATGGATAAATAAATGAATAAAATGTTAAAAAAAATCCAATGACCTCATGTCATTTTCTTACTTCAGGATCTATAATTCTGGCAAAGAGATCAAGTAAACACAGGAGCTAACTGTTCAAGAAGCTGCACTATACTGGGACCAGCAGTTAGCGTAACGGCTATGTTGCTGAACTCCCATGTAGTCGACCACAGTTCAAGTCCCAGATCCAGTGGCTTAAACTCATACCGGGACACATGTGCATGCGTGCCCAAGATCCCTAGAGGAGAAAGGAGGAGAAGGGATTGTGGCATGGCCATCTGCCTAGGGGGTGATTACTCACTTTCTGTCTGTCTTTCTGTCTGTCTGTCTCTGTCTTTCTGGCGAGTGCAAGTGCCCTACAGCAAAACAAAACAAAACGAAACAAAAAAGAAAACCTCTCCAAAAAAAAAAAACAGAAGCTGCACAAGCTGCTCTATACTAACAGGCCACCTCTCCATTCCACACCCAGTGTTCATCCACCATGGATCCTGACTCCTCCAGTCAGTGTATCTTCATGCACTTCACTAGTAACTATTTTTTCTTGCACTATTTTCCCTTTCTGAAATTTCATATTTTCATCAATTTCAATCCTATATTTCCCATAAATGCATTTTTGCCCACAAATTATTCCAAACCCAGAGAAGTCATACCTTAGAAGTTAAACTAAATTAATCTTAGAGAAAAATAATAAGAAAAAAACAAAATCAGGTGGAAGAATGGACCTTCATTCCTCTGTGAAAGAATAAAGAATACTGATAATAACGTGTAGTATTTTTAGTCACTTTATAATACAATTATCTAAAGCAAGATATAATTGCCATGTATTGTGATGTTCATTTATATTTGTGAAAGCAAAATGTAAGCTAATGGCATAAAGAACGGAAAGGAGAAATGAAAATATGCTGATGCTTATGATGGAGTCAGCATAACCCAAGGAAGTACATCGTGTATATCTCAAATTCTACAACCCCGCAACAATAAAATATAGACACACAGCTCACAAGAGCACAGAAACAACGTAGAATCTTATTTTATTTTATTTTATTTTATTTTTTTCAATAAATCCAGAAAAGGGTGGGACAGCAGCTAGGATAATAGTTACATTGCTGGACTCCCACATACTTGACTGTAGTTCAAGTCCTGGCTTAAAACTCCCCATGGGGGGACCAGAAGTTGGCATAATGGCTATGTCACTAGACTCTCATGTAGTCAACTGCAGTTCGAGTCCCTGACCCAGTGGCTCTTAAACTCACGCCAGGTGCGTATGCATGTGTGCCCAAGATCCCGAGAGGATAATAGAGAAGAAGGGATTGTGGCGTGGCCATCCCCCGTGGGTGTGTGTGTGTGTGTGTGTGTGGTGTGGTGTGGTGGTGGTGATTTCTCGCTTTCTGTCTCTCTGCACAGACTCTATAGCAGAAATCTCTCTAAAAAAAAAATAAATAAATCCAAAAGAAAGTAGACAAAAAATACAAAGACCAAGTACAAAAATAGCAACATGGTACAAACCTAACTATATCAATAAGTAAATTAAATAAGGATAGGTTATACATTCCATTAAAAAGCATATGTTATCTAAGAACACAGGAATAAGAACAAGAAGCAACTATATGTTGGCTATAAGAAAATTCATATAAATATGACTGACAAAGATTAAAGGTAAAATGATGGCAAACATTATGCAAAATCAAAGAGGAAGTTTAAGTACTTACATTAATATCAGGCAAAATAGATTTCAAAACAAAAATTAATGCCATGGATATAGAGGAAAATTTCATAATGATGAATAGGTAAATTCACTAAGAATGATTTCAAGTCTAAATGTGTACAGAGCTATCAATGAAGCTTCAAAATATGTAAGGCAAAACTGAAGAGATAAACAAATACAAAAATTATAATTGAGATTTTAGCAATCCTTTTTCAGTAACTGATAGAATAAGTAGAAAATTAGTAATAAAACAGAAGACAGGAACAACTCTATCAATCATCTTGATCTAATGGACAAACACTTTATGCAATAAAAGCGGAATATTGATGTTTTTTAAGTGTATAAAAAACATAAACCAACTAAAACATTTTCTGGGCCACAAAGCAAACCTTGACAAATTTAGAAAGATTAAAATCATATAGAGTATGTTTTCCAACCACAAGGTAATTAAATTGGGAAAAAAAATCTATATTAAATAATACTCTTCTAAATAACCCTTGTATTAAGGAATCACAAGGGAAAATTAAAAATATTTTGAAATGAAAACTCAATATTTCAAAATTTGGAAAGCATGACTAACAGTCCTTGGAGAAAAACTAATAGCATTAAGTGCTTATATGTTAGAAAATTAGAAAGGTCTCAAAACAATCATCTTAGCTTGCACTTAAAGAAATTAAATAGGAAAATAAGCTTAAAAGTAGCAGATAAATAAATAATAAAAAACAGAATTAATTAATTTGAACAACAAAGCAACAGAGAAAGAGAAATTTAGAGTTTGTTCTTTAAAAACAACAAATGACAAAAAACCCAGTAACACTGATAAACCTTTTGGGAAAACACAAATTATCGGTATCAAGAATAAAAGAGTTCATCACTATAGATACTACAAACATTAAAATAATATAAGGGAAATTCAGACATTTTCAAGAGAATAAATTAGAACATAAAGATGACAGATTCCTGGAAAGACACAAAATACCAAAATTCATTTGAGAAAAAATAGATAATCACAGTAATGCCATAACTACTAAAGAAAATGAATTCATAGCTAAAAACTTCTCTAAAAAAGACTGAATTCCAGGTTCAGGTAGCTTCACTGGTAAAGTAAGGAATAAGTAATACAAATTCTACACATACAATTCTATAAAAATCAAGAAGGGAAAATGTTCCACCTTATTTTTAAAAAGCAAACATGCTCCTAAAATAAAAATCATACAAAGATATTTTAGGAAAAGATGACAAAACTATATTATTCATGATTTAAGAAAGCAAAAATCCTTTAGAAACACACTGTAGGGGGCAGGAAGTGAAGTGGAGGTTAAGGTACTAGACCCTATATGTCTAACAGCGGTTTGAGTCCCAGACCCAGCAGCTTGAAAAACAAATGTGCATGTGTGCATGCTCATCCAAAATTCCGAGAGGGAATATAAAAGAAGAGATTGCAGTGTGGCCATCTCCCCTGGGAGGTTCTCTCTCTCTCTCTCTCTCTCTCGGGAAAGCATGTGGCCTATAACATACACACACACGCATATACACATGTATTAAATTGAGCCATATATACTAAGTGTAACATATTATGAACAGGTGGGTTTTTCCCCAAGAATATAAGGTTAATGTAACACACACCAAAAAAAATCAATGTAATTCATCATTTAAAAAAATATTTTTTTGGAAGAGGTTTTTGCTATAGGGCACATGCGCTCGCCAGACAGACAGAGAGAGAGAGAACCACGGTTGACTACATGGGAGTCCAACAATGTAACCATTATGCCATCTGCAGGTCCCAATGTAGGGCTTTTTTGTTTGTTTATTTGTTTGTTTTTTAATACCACCTGTAGTAGGTTGAAGTTCTATTCCTAATTTACTGATAGTTTTTTTTTATTATAAACATGTGTTGAAGGGTTTTTTTTAATCATAAACATGTGTTGAATTTTGTTATAAGCTTTTTCTGCATGTATCGCAATAATCATATGACTTCTCCTTTGTATTCTATTAATGAATTGGGACCAGCAGATGGCATAATGGTTATGTTGCTGGACTCCCACATAGATGACTGTAGTTCAAGTCCCAGACCTGGCTTAAAACTCATGCTAGGCACATGTGCATATGGTGCCCCAAATCCCAAGAGAAGAATGGAGGAGAAGGGATTGTGATGTGGCCATCCCCCCAGGGTGTGATTTCTCAATTGCTGTCTCTCTGTCTGTCTCTGTCTTTCTGGTGAATGCATGTGTCCTAAAGCAAAAATCTCTCAAACAAATTGTATCCATATTGCTGTTCTATAACTTATTATATAGAAATAATTTTATGCTTAGAGAAGACTAATAAAAATAGTACATGTGGCAACCAAAAACCCTTTTCACATCTTCCCCAAATGTGAACATCTTATGTAGCTATAACACAGTAATCAAAACTAAGAATTTAATATCTTTGTTTAACAATATTGTTAACTACACCAACTTTATTAAGATTTTTTTTTTCCCCAGTAATGTCCAGGAGCCCACACTGTAACTTAGTTATCAATTTACCTAAGATAGAATGTGTATTCAGATAATTGCAAGTAATCTACATAAAAGGGTACAATTACTGAGTTTTATTATCTTGTATTAATAGACTATCAAGTCAATATAAAAAAATCAATTGTTTTTCAGGAGCCCACACTGCAATTTAGCTATCATGCTTTCTCCAATCAGTGAGTATTCTACCACCTTTCTTGGTCTATCATGAGGGTGACAATTTTTTTTATTTTAAATCTTTTTAAAATTATTAAATGTAACTTATTTACATTTAATCATGTCTACAGTGTACAACATTTCTTTTTCCAGCACAAATACCATGCATGTCAGTCAAGCCAAAGATATTACTCTATACCTTATCAGCAAATAGCTTCTCATTTTTTGTCAATTAAGCATACTTTTACTTGTTTATTCTTTCCCCTTCCCCCCTCTCCCTTCCATACTAAACTTTTTTCACATTTTATTAATTCACAAAATATCTTAAACTAAAAATATTTGTATGCTGTGACAATATTTTTTAAGTTTATTTCTTCCATAAGAGAGAGACAAGGGGTAGAAGGAGAGAGACAAGAGACAGGTACCCTCAACAGGTCTTCATTCCACAACCCACCCCCAGCCTCAGCCAGCCAGGAACATGGGTGTGTACACAAACAACACCCAGTGTGTGCAGAAAGGCCTCAGGATGTGAACTGAGGACCTTCCCATGTGGTCTCAGCATGGTGGAGCATGACTGCTGCTGGCCTGAGGCTGACATTTTTGAAGTTATCTGGCCAGGTATTTTGAAGAATATTTCTTCATGTGGGTTCTTTGGGTTTTCTTTCTTTCTTTCTTTCTCTCTCTCTCGCTCTCTCTCTCTCTCTCTCTCGCTCTCTCTCTCTCTCTCTCTCGCTCTCTCTCTCTCTCTCTCTCGCTCTCTCTCTCTCTCTCTCTCGCTCTCTCTCTCTCTCTCTCTCCCTCCCTCCCTCCCTCCCTTCCTTCCTTCCTTCCTTCCTTTTCTGATAAAAAAAAAGTTTTGCCATGGGGGATGTGCACTCTCCAGAGAAAGAGAGACATGGAAAGTGAAAATCAACCTCCAGAGAGGGTAGCTATGTCTCAATCCCTTCTCCTTCATTCTCCTCTCAGGATTTTATGCAGGCATGCATGTACACACATATGCCCGGCCTGAGTTTCAAGTTACCAAGTCTGGGACTCGAACCACGGATGGCCACCATGGGAGTCCAGCACCTTAACCACCATACCACCTGATGGCCCCTCAGGTTTTCTTAGGATTATACTGAGGTTATGCATTTTGGGGAAGAACACTACAACAGTGATATGGCCATCTTAGAGCATCATATCATGAGTTATGTAAAGTAAAATTGTGTTTATTTACCTAAGATATAATGTGTATTCAGATAACTGCAAGTAATCTATATAAAAGGGTACAAGTGAGTTTTACTATCTTGTATTAATGGACTATCAAGTCAATATAAAAAAATCAATTGTATTTTTATATACTGAGAGCAAACAAAGTTAAAATGAACTTCTCACATCAGAAGATAGAAAATATTTAAATTACGAAACATTACTGAGGGAATTTAAAGACCACCTACGTAAATGGGAAGACTCAGTAGGTTCATGGATCTGAAGGCTCATGGCTCAGATGCCAGTTCTCCCTGAATCTACGTCTAGAGTCCACAGATTCAACAGAAAATCGCAAAAAACCCACAGGACTGACAAACTGAGCATAAAACCTATACGGAAATCTATATGAAAATCTGTCTAGTTAACCTCACAGTATAAAACATCTTGCCCAAAATCTTAAAGCTTGAATGTACTGAAAGGACCATAATTTGTTTTTAATTGTGAAAGAATATGTGCACTTGTCAGAGACAGAAACAGACAGACACAGAAAGAGGGAAAAGGCACTTCACAATAGGGTGTGATCATATAACTACCCTTTGTCCATTTCTCTAATGCATTAAGCTTTTGGGCACATATGCAGTGCACACACCTGGCGTCTGTCTGTCTTCCTTGTTTTTAAGAATCATTTATTTCATTTTATTTATTACTACTATTATTATTTTTAATTTGACCAGAAAGAGGTGGGGGTGGGTAGTGAGAAAGCAAACCACCAGGTCTAAGACTCAAACAATGGTCAACCACATGGGAGTCCATCATCTTAACCACCATGTCACATGCCAATCTACCTGGAGTGCTTTTCAAGTCTCTGGGCTGGGATCCAAACCACAGTCATCCATGTGAGATCTCATTCTCTTAACCACTAGGCTTACATACCAACCTAAAGCAGTAATGTTTACATGTGGATAAAACAGCTGTCCATCCAGGACCAGAGCCCCATCAGGCACATCCAGTACTATGCTCTTTAGAGGGTCAAACCACACTGCTTAGAATCCAGAATACTTCACCTGGGGAAAGATTTAGATTACCCTAAAGATACCAGCATGCCTAGATGTACCTTCATCTCTAGCCTTGGCATATTATACAGAAAAATAATCAATAATCCTTTAAAAATAAATCTATAAAAATATACTTCCCAAAGTTTATTAATAAAAACATAATAAAAAATAGCTGACCTTAGAGATGAATTAACCTCTAATGAGTAAGTCACATTATTTTAAAGACAAAGGTCCTATAAATGTGTTTGAATTTGTAAATTACTTCCTAACTTATACTATTCAGAGCACTAGGATTTACACTGAATTCATTAAAATAGCGACTGGCATCAGGCTGGTTCTTGTAACTAATTTCTTTTTTGGGGGGGGGGGGGGGGGTTTT